CCCGCTCGGGACTGCCCGCTCGGGACTGCCCGCTCGGGACTGCCCGCTCGGGACTGCCCGCTCGGGACTGCCCGCTCGGGACTGCCCGCTCGGGACTGCCCGCTCGGGACTGCCCGCTCGGGACTGCCCGCTCGGGACTGCCCGCTCGGGACTGCCCGCTCGGGACTGCCCGCTCGGGACTGCCCGCTCGGGACTGCCCGCTCGGGACTGCCCGCTCGGGACTGCCCGCTCGGGACTGCCCGCTCGGGACTGCCCGTATTGATCCCACGCAAGAAAAAAGAGTGCTTGGGGACTTACAAAGTTGGTAGTGTTTGGACAACGTCAACGACGACGTCGCAAAAAGTGTCAGAAGTCTGTCAAAAAAAAAGAAAAAATTGGAATTTAAACGACTCGCTTGGGTTTAATGTGTTACAAACACAGTTGGCTTTCTTTCCCCGCCCTTGAAAAAAAAAATTCTTGATTCTTTCTGAAGCGAAACCTTTTTGCTATATGATAAATCCTTTATTGACCAATCTAGTTTGGTCAAGATGGCTGGATATTAGCCTGGTTTTTTTCTTCTGTGTCTTTTTTTTTTTTGGCCTCGACTTCGCTTCGGTCCATAAAAACGCAAAAAAAAAAAAAAAAAAATTCGGCCCATATCCAATCGTCTTGACCTCACACTTGGTCAACAACGTATATAGACGTCTCTACAGACTTATATGATCTCAAAGTTTCTAATGGATGTAGCGATAGAAATGTTATTTTCACGCACACAACATTCTAATGAAATGCTTTTGGAGCACTCAGGATATCTTGTGATATTAATGCATGATTCGGTAATAAAACTGCGGAGCAATTTAAATTTGGATTACTTCTTTAAAGACTTGACAATTAAATGGGAGTTTTCACCGTTTATTCAAAGCTTATGGACAGGTTATTATTTACCCGAGGCTCTATAAAAGTCTTACGATCCTCCCTCATTGGCAGTAGATAGGCAGTAGCTTCCCCATTCACACTCTGTTGGTGACGATTGATCTCCCCTCCGTCCCCCTGATAACAATGTGATGTCCCAAACTCCTCGGACTCCCCACTGTCCGGGATGATAAACAACATCTGGTCCCTTAAGTGGAATATTTATATATTGACATTATTTTCGTTTTCAATAATTTTTGCCTTGAATTTAAATGAATAATAATTTGTTTGTAATAAGCCTATTGTTTAATTTACACGAATAGTTTTTTCAATCAGTTTATTAACTCAGACATACTGCATTTTTATATTCAATCAGTTAGTTGAAAGAGTGGCTCTTAATGAAATTATCCTCAATTCCTGCCGTCTTGTCATATTTGTTTACATGTAGTGCGCTGTATCACCTTCGACTCAGGTCAATCAGAAATAACACAGTTCATCATATCGTTCTTCCTGAAAGGAAAGAAACCTGATTGCCATTGAAATCCTTAACACTTGGACGTCAGACTTCTGCAGGTTGTTTACCTCAAAGTGAACTTTAATCAACAAGTGCTTCATTGTCTTTTCGACGTAGGACACCAGTTGATAGAAAAATAAATGATCGCTAGGTCGTTCTCATATCAGTTTCTCCATATGTTTTGTCCAAACAGAACCAATCACCATAGGATATTATTGTTTATGCCTAATCTGCTTATAAAGCCCCTACTTACGTAGTCAAACCACTTAATGACCAGTTTTACCAACTGCGGTCAAATTGATGAAACTTCTGGAGTCGGAGAGTCACTTTTTAGAAGTGTTAATTTTAGAATGTATAGTTAATTTTTCCCACATATTCGAAAATACTTTACATAATCCAACCTCTCTTCGGTGATCAATTCTAAATTTGGTCGATAGGTGTTTCTTTTGAAAATTAAACTGAGAAGGTGGTCATACATATTCGCCTTTGTTTTGTGAAGACTGTAACGACTCTTCTGGGAGCCCGCACGATTTATATTGCGCTACTCGAACTTCGCTGTGGCAATCTCAGAATTCTTGAATGTATCACTTGGATTTCTACAACTAGTGCACTTTTGGACGGACTTAAAAGCCACGTCGACTCAAGCTAAGAGTGTTGCAGGACGGGGCTGTTTCAAAATTTGAGTTTCCAGCGGTAGCGATCACTTCTGGTAGGAGTAATTAGGATCTCTCTACAATCTTAATAGATTATTTGGCCATCAGGTGATGAGAATGGACCAAAAAATCTTATTAGAGTAGAAATAACTTTCATCATTTTATTGGGAAGAAAACGTTGTGGGAATGAAGGGGAAAATTGCATGCTTATCAGATCATGGTAGTTAACAGTTAAGCAGTTACTCAAATGAACTTCTTGCTCGTGAGACATGAAATACATATTTTTTTTGTTAAAACATTTAGGTACAAAAGATGAATAAACCTACACTTGCCTTAATCACTTGATTTCTTCCCTAAAAACGAGTGATTTGACCACTCAAAGGAAAACGAGAACTTTGTGAACTCACAGAAGTTTCATAACTACCAATTGTAACAGCACATATGCATTCCAAAAAAAATTGTAATTCATAGCTATATAAAGTATTTTTCCTAATTTGTTCTTTAAATAATAGTTTAAACAAACTTTGTAAACACTTAAACATTTTAAATAAAATATGTCACTTTTAAGTAACTGTTTTTACTGAATGTTTACTTTTAAGTTTGTTGATAATATCTGTGTATACAACAGTACATTAGCATTGGCACATTTTTAAAATTGAATTTAATACCTCATTCACGATTAAGGAACAAGAATTCATGACGGAAGATTTAAAGTTGCCATCGCGACTGATATACTTCGGCTCAATTCAATGTCCCTTCTTCCTTTGGATTTTTTTTTCCATTTAAGTGTTAACAACTTTTTATATTCACGTCGATAAGATGAATTTGCAAAGCCATATACCAAAGGGTTGGCGGCACTACTAAAACTGCCAAAAAAAGTCCACATGAGTTGAACTTCACGGGGAATTCTCCACCAATTGATGAAAAACGCTTGAGTAATCTCAATTACAAACACAGGAAGCCAGCTTAAGAAGAACATTACGACCACGGCAAACAGAGTAATTGTTGTCCGCATTTCTTGAGAAGTTAAACGCGAATTTCGTCTTCTGTTCATTCTATTAAGATTTGGCGCGACTCGCGTAAAATGTTCCCCAACAACCCGAAATATCTTATAATAACAAGTAAATATGACAATTGAAGGAATTACAGCGAAGAACAGCAGCAGCAACCCTCTTAGAATGCCTGGATAGCTATTCTGCTCTACCTCGACGCCTCCTTTAAAAATCACACAAGCAGCTTTGGCTGGGTTAAAAGTGGCGCTAAAGGATCCAGTTGCCAGAGGAATTGCTAGTATAAGTGCGGTTACGAACCAAAGTATAATCAATGTGGCAAGTGTCTTTTTCATCGTGAAAATGCGCCGGTACCTCCGCGGCTTGACGACTTTGAAAAATCTGTTAAGTGATGTTAACACGATGGTCTGAAGGGAAACGAACGCTAGAAAATAGATGAAAAAGCATTGAAGCTGACATGCAATATCACCGTAGATCCATCTTCCTTGTATAAGAACCCCACACGAGAGAGGCATACAGATTGCCCCCATCAAAATATCAGCCACGCAAAGGGTCAAAATCAATATGTTTGTAATGCTTCGAAAAGACGAATCCTTTACCAGAACTGTGCATAGTAGGAAGTTACCGAACAGCGCCGTGAAGTTGATGGTCACGAAGAACCCAGCTTCTACCGCAGTCAGACCACTTGAACGCTTTTCAAGAATCCTTTGAAAAGTTAGAAAGTGATCGCTTCCGTTTATTGCAGCGATATGCGACATATTAGCAGAGTTTGAATTACACTGTCAATTTTCCTGCTCGATGTAGTGGTTAATCCTTTTGACAGTCGCTAGCAGATTGAAGCCGCTTGTATTGTGTTATCATGTTCGTCTTAAAAGGCCGTTATGAATAAATTATCATACAGCCAATTTTTTTTTTGTTTGCGTAATATTGTTATCAGAGGGGGCTACTCAGTGAGCAGAAACCGATCCTGGGAATAAATTCCTCTTTAACTGCTTCGACTCATCTATTGGTTTTCGATCGGAGGAACATATCTTTAAATCACTAGCTGCACTTATTTTGACACATAATTTTGTGTTGAAAAGATGTTCAGAGGTGTTGTATAAAAATAATAGAAGTCAACCAAAATGGGAATCATCCTGCTGTGATCTACTCAATAAATCTTAGAATTTTAACGCCTAAAAAAAGCGAAAAACAGCCGGGGAAAATTTACTATTACATATGATTTGCGTGCAAAAGCTTATTCGATTTGTTCAAAACCAGCCTACACTACATGCGGAGAGAAATAGTCCATAAAACAAGAGCAGGTAATTATCTAACAGCTAAATGTATTAGATTTTTAAATGTTTTTAATCGGCTAATACAAGGTGTATCTAGTAAAAAAAATAATTTCTCGACAAGAAGCAATTTCTTATCTATGTAAGCATATGTTCAACAAGGTGATTTGGTATCAGATTTCGATTCAATGGAATATTCAAATATGCCTGACAGACACGTTTGTTGGTGACTTAGCATAGAAGCGAAATATTAATTTTTTTGTTTTCTTGTACAGAAATCCATTAGAACTTATAGAGAGGGTGATGAAAATACTCAATTAGGAATCTCATGGAAAAAAATTCCAACAAAAAACAATTACTTAACAGAAACAGAAGAGGACACAAATTATGAACGGTTGGCAAGTTTATATTTTCATTTCCTGATATTACACACGGCTAGTTTTGAGGTTTTCATTTGAAAGCTTTCGCGGTGTTCTCTGTTTTGTCAATAGATTCTAGTTATTCTTACATTGCGGTTATCAGACGTAAATGCGGTTGATATTGCTGACACTATAAGATTGAAAACATTAAGAATACCGCTCGTTTGACTGCGCGAAGAAATTTACATAATTAAGTGTGGTGCCATTTTAAGATAGATCTGAGCATTCACCGGGACCAGCGGGAAGTCACAAAATGAAGATAAGCTTTGCACACTTATGCAAAGATGAAAACAAAAACTTTTTCATTTATATCCACGGGGATACGCATTGTCATTTGAAATCAGAGAGCGTCAATTTTCTGGCAGATAAAAACAGAAACACTACTGAAATAGTTTTTCGTCGTCCTTTCTGTCTATGCTAGGCTTCATTTTATACAAATCTCGTAACGAAAACTTTTTTCGGTCCATGACCTAGTTCTTAGAAATATTTATGGCACAGAATATGCCTGAAGAAATTGTGTTTATTTTTTTACGGTCCCACACCGCTAAAACGTTATTGCTGTCTATGTAATGACGTAACTAAAGTAATGGCCTTTCGACATCCTGGATCGGATTTCATTTAATTGAGCCTTATCCAGGAAAACATGAGAACCCCATTTGACAGAGCCGACCAAGATGAAAAAATAAAATCTTGCCCACTGACGCGAACTCTAGGTAGTGATAGATGTGATAGATAAGTGCTAAAAAAAGAAACATAAAAAATTCAACGATAAAATGATTACGCGCTGATTACAGCCCAATATGACACGTACACTTTTCAGAGCAGATTTTCTTTTTCACTTTTATCGATAGCAATTAGCTCTTGTAGTTAGCAAGCCTCTTCGTTTCCACGTTGTGATCTTTTAACTGTTGATCTACACGATACATGCTTGATGCCATAAACGGAACATGCTTCATTACCTGAGCTTGATTTAGCCTGGGTCGAAGCCTGGGTCGAAGTCAAAGTCAAAGTCAGTGGATTGGGAGCTATGGAGAGGGATAGCCTGTATCCAGACCCTCATTATCCGCGCTGCAGGACTCGCGCTTTTTCACTCGCGAGAAGATCGGAGACGAGTGAGGGAAAATTTGCTGGGAGTCTGGCACTAATATCTAGTTCTAAACCACTTGCAGACCTCTCGCCACCTCGCTATGCTGAAGTTCTCATAATTTCCTTCTGGTAAAGAAACACTTGTCCCGAAGCGCTTATCGCGACAGCCTGCTGGCAGGCTATAAAACACCTAGAGCTTGCTCAGTTGAATTACACAAAATAAAAACTTGTTAGATGTTTTTATTGTCATCAAAATTGGCGACAAGAGAAGAAAAAAACATCAGTTCTCGGCTTTCGCAGTCCGTCGCTTTTCCATTGAGCTTCAGAGGATTTATGGTTAGCTTTTTTCAGCCTTGTTTAAGAGGGTTTTGAAAGAAAAAGTTAACAAATGAAAAGTCCAGTGCTCCAATCAGATACTCCTACTCGGAAGTCGATAAAGGATTGGGGAAAAGATTTGGCCCTAAAATGAAGCCATGCGCTCTCTGGCAACTAAATGCAGAACGACACCTGGTCTATCAACCTAAACTAATTCTACATTCACTATAATCATTCTCTTAAAAACTTTAGCCGGCCGGCTTCTTGGCTTTGTTTTTTTTTTTCTCTTCTGAACTATCTTAGTGAACACACAATTAACAATACACAACGAATGACAGAAGCACCCGGTATGCCAGCTATAATTCTATTTGTCCTTATTATAAACGCGAGACTGAAGGAGGCCGTTCTTTTTCTGTATTATCAACAAGACTTTGGAATAATATGCTTCTAAATATGAGAAAATCAGACTCCGTTAAGTACTTAAAAAGTTATTTATTTAAAACGATCCTCGCAGCGCAGCAACATTTAGACCATTTTAGGATTCAACTTTTATATCTATTTATATCTATATTTCAGGGAAGTTTTTAATATTATTGTAATTCAACTATTTGCGTCTCTCACAAACTTAGTTTTTTAACTTTTATTTTATTATATTTGTACTCATAGTTTGTAAATCTATTCTCCGAGGACCACAAGTTTATCAGCCTTTGGCTATTAAGCGTTAACCCTCTTTGAATAAAGTCTTTATTATTATTATTATTATTATTATTACTATTAATATTATTATTATCATGACTGGGTGAAGGTATTGCAAAAGACGTGTGTTTATTATTATCATTAATATTATTATTTGATGATAAAAATTAACGGTAAAAAACTACGACGTTTCGAAGTCTGCATGACCTCATTATCAAGTAAAATGTTAAAACTGATGTAAAATTGTAGCTCAGAGATTATATACAAATAAAATGTGATAACTTCATTAGAATAATGAGCGTTCATTGTTATTGGTGTCAGATCGTGCAGTATATGTTTAAATAAATACTTTTGCACGTATTGAGTCAGACTGCGTGTTTAACTTTGGTTTTTGTTCGCGAATGAATAACATTTCGTGGATTAGGCAGTCCATTTTCCCGCGGCATTTCTTGAGAACGGAAAACATTTTCCCCAGGCCAGCGGACGCTACACCGTGGGCCTCCCTCAGATGCTTGCCAATGACAGAGGCTTTATGTTCTTCTATGCGTTGATGAAGATGGCGTGTGGTATAACCGATATAATCCGCATCGCACGAATCACATTTAAAAGTGTAAACAACGCATTGGTGGTTAATTAAAGCGGGCTTCTCTTCTTGTATCTTGAGCTTTCCCTCGATCTTACGACTCGTGAAAACTGGTTGTANTTAACTATTCCTGTGAAATATTTCAAATTTAAAATAACAACGGCAAACATAATATGTATAATAACAACATGGATAACACCTCAAAGGAGGCATTTGATGAACAAACGTTTCAAATCGCTTAAAAGGGCACTACGTCTGGGTTATCCAAATATGTGGGCTGAGTATCGGGAGTTGCGGAATAGAGTGACCAAGGAAGTGAGACTCTCTAACAGCAAGTTCTACTTGGAACTGTTTAATGAAGTGAGGGATTGTAAATCATACTGGAGATTGGTAAAAAATGCGACCAACAGCGAATCAATTGCCCCGATACTGGGGATGAGAAATGCGGATGGTAGAGTCGTTACCTCCGACCTGGACAAGGCGAAACCAACTAAACGAGTAATTCTCAACTATTGGCGAAAAATCGGACAACGAATTGGCGAATATCAACTTGATTCAAAGTGCCTTCACTTTGAGTCAAGTTGATTTCAATCGTCACACCTTGTGTTAGGAGCATATTTATCGTATGAGAGGATTGTAAGCTCGATGGCTAAGTTGAGAGCCGATAAAGCCCCAGGTCCGACAGAGTAATCCCAAAGCTATTAAATTGCGCTGGCGGTTCAATTCTTCCATCTTTGTTGTATGTGTTTAATAAAAGTGCCGCCTGCAACACTGTATCGGCTACATGGAAGGCTGCAAATATTTCAGCACTCTGTAAAAGCGACGACGAAACTGATAAGCATAATAACAGGCCTATTTTGCTCATAAGTGTGCCAGGAAAATTGATGGAGTCTATGGTGGCATCAACGGTTACTACGCACGTCACTGGACAGGGACTCGGGAACCCTCACCAGTAGGTGTTCAAAAAAGGTCATACCACCGAACTGGTGCTAATGAAGATAACGGAGGACTGGAGACAAGCGCTGGACAAAGGACACGTTGTGGGTGTGGTTTTCGCAGATTTTCTTAAGGCATTCGGTGCGATTCCCCATTCCATCCTGCTCCGGAAACTTCATAGTCTTGATGTAGCCGAGGACGTATGGTGTTGGATAAGGGATTATCTCTCTGGAAGAACGCAAGTGACAACGATTAATGGAGGTCAATCTCTAGCTCTGCCGGTTACGTTTGGTGTACCCACAGGGCTCTGTGCTTCGCCCCACTCTGTTTTCCCTCTTTTGTAATTACCTGCCCAATATCACCTAGTGAATAGACGGCGACTTACAGCTACACATGTACGCGGACGATGCTACCATTTGTCTCGGCTCCGAGTTATGATCTGGTGGCTTCCAAACTAAATATAATGAAGTCCTAGCAAGGTTATATACATGGTGTTGTGAGAACTGTCTCACCCCCATCCTATTAAGACGGAGTACATG